CAGGGACCGTCCGGCACTGGCCACGCCCCGGGAGGGCGGAGAGGAGGTGTCCCACCGCTGCGGCGACTGTGGGAAAAGTTTCCACTGCCTCGCCGACCTTGACAGCATCGGCCCAGGGACCGTCCGGCACTGGCCACGCCCCGGGAGGGCGGAGAGGAGGTGTCCCACCGCTGCGGCGACTGTGGGAAAAGTTTCCACTGCCTCGCCGACCTTGACCAGCATCGGCCTTCCCACGCGGCGGAGAAACCCCACCGGTGCGGGGATTGCGGGCGGGGACTGCGGGAAGGGCTTCTCCTGGAGCTCCCACCTGGAGCGGCACCGGCGCGTGCACACCGGCGAAAAACCTTTCCAGTGCGCTGACTGCGGGAAATGCTTCGGGCGCAGCTCCCACCTCTACCGGCACCAGCGGAACCATCCCAGAGAGAAACCCTCCTGCCCAGGGGCTGAGTAAAGGAGGAACCCGGACACCAGGGCAGGACCCTCATGAGACAATAAGGAAACCAAGCCCAGAACCCTCCTGCCAAAGGCTCGGCTGAGGGGGAAGGAATCTGCCAGGGACAAGAGTTCACCTGGGAGAAGAGACCCTTTGAGTTCCACCCGTATTGGGCGTCGGAGAATCGTCCGCGGCTGAGAAATCCAATCCGCATGCTCACCGAGGATGATGCTCCTCTGTCGCGTGGGTTCGGCTGAGGCTGATGAGTGATCTTGGAGAGCTGTCCCCAAGTGGGATGGGAAGCGACAGGGGAAGGGAGAGAGATGGGAGGTGCTGCCACTTTCCCTCCCCCCCGTCAGCCGCTGACGTCCACACTCAGAAACTCCCTCCCCCACCCTTGTCTCTATTTCCCCTCCCCCCGGCAAGCGTCGGGGCCCTCACCCGCTCCTCCGTGGTTCAGCGAGAGGATGAAACAGAGACTCGAGAGGGAAACAACCCAAGGCCCAGCGGTGGTCTCAGAGGCGACGCTGGGTGAAAGCGGGGAGGCTCCAGAGGAGAGAGGGACTAAGCCACAAAGGTCAAAAAAGGAGAACCCCTGCCGATGTGAGGCAGAACGGACCTGTGGGACTCACTGCTGCAGGAGAAGGGTGCATTTTGAAATAGTTTCCTGCAAGTGCTCAACAGGCAAAGGGCTCTGAGTCGCCAGAGCAATCAGGGCTGGGAGGAGAAGGGTGCATTTTGAGATGGTTTCCTGCAAGTGCTCAACAGGCAAAGGGCTCTGAGTCACCAGAGCAATCGGGGATGGATGCCACATTTACATTGTCACCCATTAGTCGGGTTACCAGGTGGCTTCAAAAAATAATACCGGACACACTTGATCTCAGATGGGGGAGGAGGTGGGGAGGGGAGGCGGAACTGGCCAGCAGGAAGCAGGGCTGGTGGGGGGGGGAGGTAGG